ACGGACATACAGGCGCTGGTGGAGATCGAGAGGCAGAGCCGGCACCGGTTTGAGTTCTTCATGGGGCTCGGCATGGGGGCCGCTACCACCGGTGATGAGCCCATCAGTGCGCGGACGGCGTATGCGTTTGCCAAGGCGGGTGGGAGGATTGCGCACGGGCTCACGGTGTTTGAGTGCCGCCTGCGCCAGCCCAACCACGTGAGTGGTATTGGGGCGTGGGGGCGTGGCGTGCTGGTCCATGTCGTTGCCATCTCGCGCATCTCACACATTTGATGACTGTGTGCTCATTCAAGCTGCAATCATGCCATGCCATCCCATGCCTGACTGCCCACTCACTGACTTATTCCAGTGTGTCACCAACCCCCTCCCCTTTCCCAAAAACCCTCTTTGCCCGCCCACCAGGTGAAGGAGCTGTTCCGGTGGCTGGCGCGCCCAGAGTACGCAGCGACGCGCAGTGCAGTGGACCTCGCCTTCACCTCCACCGCGGTGGCAGACGAGAAGACGCCCTTCCTCGCCACGCTGCTGCGCACGCTGCACCACGCCTCCCTCGCCCCCGCGCCCTCTGCCTCCCTGACCCCCTCCCCCCCCGCACTGTGCCCGTCGGACGAGCCCCCTGCGGGCACGCTGCGCTTCCGCTCCCAGGTCGCCGGCTTCCTCCGCCTCTACTTCCGCGCCCCCCTCTCCGCCCAGGTTCGTGCCAAGTGAAAGGGGGAAGAGTAGAGACCTGGGGGAGGGGGGGAGAGGGTGGGACAACAGTTGAAGGGGGTGTTGTGCTGGGAGAAGGGGGTGTTGTGCTGGGAGAAGGGGGTGTTGTGCTGGGAGAAGGGAGCTAACATGAAAGGGGAAGGGAAGGGATGAAGAGTACGGGAATGGGGATGGGTTGAAAGAGATTGTGTCACGTCAATGGTTCCTGCCTTCTCTCATTTGCCTAATCCCGCCTTCCCTTCTCTCTGCCCCCGCCTCCTCCCCTTCCCCCCCATCCTCTCTCGCCCGCCATCAGAACGTGGTGGTGCTGCCCACGAGGGCCACAGCAGTGGAGAACATTCTGCGCCTCTACCTGCCCGGCCTCGCCCTCGTTGACGCCTCCCTCACTCGCCACCTCCCCCCCTCCTGGCTCGCCTCTGCCCCGCCTGATGGCCCGCCCTCAGATGCCACCACTCACGCTCAGGTGGGCAGGTGACGTGCGGTGAGGGTAGGTGAGGTACGGTATGGACAGGTCGTGCGATCAGGCAGGTGTGCTTGAAGTGAGGATGTGAGAGAATCCGACAGGCAGAGCAGAAGCTCTTGCCAAAACAGCACTCCCATACTTTCCCTCCCTCCTTCCCTTTCCCCTTCCGACTTCCTCTCCAGTTCACACTCCCCCCCCTTCACCCCTCTCTCCCCCCACTCCCCCCCCTTCACCCCTCTCTCCCCCACTCCCCCTCCCCCCGCAGTCCACCCCGGTGGTGCTGGAGGCTCCCAGGCGCAGCGACCTGCTGCTGAAGCTGCTGCGCGCGCTGCGCCCGGCCGTGCTCATCGCGGCACTCCCCGACTTTGAGATGCGCTCGCCCACGGCGGTGCACCTGCTGCTGGCGGCCGCAGCGGAGACGCACACGCGCGTCTTCTTCGACATCTCCGACCACCTCGAGCTCTCCAGTGTGCCGCCCAGCAACGGCGTGCTACAGTACCTCGCGGAGCAGGCGCTGCCGCCCCACGCGGGGGTGATCTGCGGTCTGGTGCGCAACCAGGTGTACAGCGACCTCGAGGTCGCCTTCGTGCTGGCGGAGTCGCGGGCGCTGCTGGCGTGGCTGGCGGGGATGGGCGAGCTGACGTACTTCAGAGTGGCGCGCATGAAGCAGCTCTACTACGGCTGCCTGCTGGACGAGCTCCTCTCCTTCCAGATCCCCGACCGCCACACCGTCGCTGAGGTGGGGCAGGGGCGTCTGTCATGCAGTGGTACCAGGGGGGCTTTTGGCCGCTCGTTGTGGGCTCTCTGTGCTTCCATCTTTCCTTGCCGTCCAATCGTGTCGTTTCATTGCCCATTCAAACTCAACCCTTCTTTGATTTCCTTTTTCCCCGCCCTGCCTTTCCCCCCACCTGTCGTGCCACGAGTGCAGCGGCCACTGCAGGACGACCCGCCGTCGTCGCCCTTCATCTCCATCCACCCCAATGCTGCACGCGCCTTCAACCACCCCACCCTGCGCACCCTCTCCCTCACCCACGCCCTCGCCTCGCCCTCCTCCTCCTCCTCCTCCACCACTACCGCCACCACGGGCAGCACAGCAGCAGCGCAGGGCCCCACGGTGCGCATGGACGTGGGGTCGGGAGCGCTGCCAGCGCCATCAGTGGTGCAGCCGCTGGTGGTGGAGGCCTTCGTGCGCCAACACCTCAGTGACGCCGAGACCGACCCCCGCGCTGAGATCCTGCACGTGCGTGCCTACCCCTGCCACACCAACGTCCCACCCACCATGTCCCGTTCCAACACTTCTTTGCTTCTTGCTTCCCCCGCCCCCATCTACCGCCTCCCTTCATATCTCCCTCCCCTTAACCCTCTCCCGCTCCCCTTTCCCTCCCCCTCCCTCCGCCCACCAGTTGCTGCACCGTGAGTTTGGGGTGAGGGCGGAGGGCACGACGGTGGTGACGGGGGACGGGTCGCGGGTGCTGTTTGTGCGCCTCATGGCGGCCTGTGCTGCCGAGGGCGGCACGGCAGTGTTCCCAGCGGGCTCGTACGGCACGTGTCTGGCGGCGGCACGCCTGTGTGGCTGCCAGGTCAACGTGCTGCCCGTCACCTCGGCGGACACGCGCTTCACCCTCACTGCGGACCAGGTGCGCTGCCATGCCAGTGGGAGTCAGGACCTGATGCTTGCACGCTCTCCCGGCCCCTCCCCGCCTCACCTCCCCCCTTGCATTGCTCTCGTGCCTCTCATCCCATCCAGTCTTTCCCCTCACCCAACTGTCGTTTTCCCCCTCGTCTTCCCTTCTGCTGCCAGCTGGAGGCAGCGCTAGCAGGGATCACCCGGCCGTGGCTGGTGCTGTCAGCGCCGGTGGTGAACCCCACGGGGGCGCTCTACTCGCCCGCCCACCTGGCGTCGCTGCTCGCCGTGTGCATGCGCGTGGGCGCGCGGGTCATCCTCGACTCCGCCTTCCACTCCCTCACCTTCCACGCCCTACCCCACCTGCTCCTTGAACCCTACCTGGGCCGCACGGGGGATGACGTGGATGGGGAGGGAGAGGGAGAGGGAGAGCGGAGGGAGAAGGCGCACGAGCACTATGCGCTGGTGCTCATGGGGGACCTGTCACCTCAGGTACAAGCACTGCTGCGTCTGCCCACCCCTATAGCTCGTATCGCTTTCATTGTCAACCAGGGCTCTCCTCCACTCTCAACACATGCTCCGCACCGCACTCCCCTTCACCACGCAAACTCAACGCACCTGCCCGCCTCCATTTCCCTTTCCCCATTTCAATTCTAACTCCTGTGCACTCCTTCCCTGCAGCTGTCCACGCTGGGCATCCAGTTTGCCTACGTGGCATTCTGGGAGTCGTCCTTCAAGGAGGCCCTCAGCACCGCGGTGCCACCTCATCGCACACTGCGCTTTGCTGTCAAGCGGATGCTATCCAACGAGGTGAGTCAGCAAAGGATGCGATTGACTGGCAGTGTAAGTCACAGGCCATTGGCCCCATGGCCGCTCATGGCACCTCCATGCCACACTGCTCCTTGCAGCTCCCCCTGCCACCGCCATTGACCAATCCATCGCCTCCCATGCTGCCTTGCATTGAGTGCAGGTGGCGGCTGAGCTGGCAGGGGAGATGGCAGTACGGCGCGAGCAGCTGCAGCAGAGGGCGGACCAGCTCTGCCAGGTGGGCCCCTGCACACCCTCTTGCCGCACACCCTCTCCACCGCACTCTCTCTTGCCGTGCCCCGCCATGGCCTACTCTTGCACTGCCTTGCCTTTGCCTCGAGCATCCCACTCCTCACCTGCATAGAGGCAATCACTGTTGCTGTGGGCACCCAACCAGCCATCTCACCTGCATCTCCCCAACGCTTTCATGGGCAGGTTCTCTCAAGCTGTGGCTGGGACCCCATTCGTCCAGAGGGCGGAATATTCCTGGTGGCACGCCCTACAGCCTACGAGGGCAAGCAGTTCACGTACCAGCCGCCGTCAACCAACGGCGATCAAGAGCCGCAGCCTGTCACAGTCACACTCGATAGTGTCAATATATCCGAGGCTTTGTTCTCGACGACAGGGCTGATGATCAACAACAGTGACTGGACGAGCATTCCCGGCTACTGCCGCTTCGTGCTGCTCCTCGACGACCACCGCTTCACCCTCGCCCTTCAGTGCCTGGACAAGTTCCACAAGCTGGTTCTTGCCAGCTAGTTGTCAATCATGTATTTTGGTGCACTTAATTGGCCGAATGTTACATCCTTGGCTTTGTTACGTGTAGACGTCTCACTGTAGTTCTTGTTCAACAAAAGATTTTCTGTCGAAGCCTCGAGAATTTCGCGCGAAAAGCAATCGTTTCCCGCGCTCCCAGACAGGCAGCCCCTACCTCCCTTTCCTGCTCCTACGGCAAACGCGCCCTGCCTTCCAGGCACCACCCATCCAGCCCTTTCCGCCAAGCCACTCTCTCTTCCCCTGTCGCCCTCGCAACGCCAGTCGCCGCCATTTCTTTCATTTTTGCCCTTCTCGATTCGGCGAAGATGGCGAGTTCAAAGCGTTACACTTTGGTGTCCGCCTCCCACGCTCCAACGCCACCAAGCAAGTTATCTATTCAGAGAGACCTCAACTGCCGCATATCCCTTCCGTGCTCATTCTTAGCCACCATCCCACCGATACACCCTCCTGGCGGCAGTCGCCATCTCTCTGCTCGCCTCCTCCGCTATACGCCACCACCTCTCTGTACCTCGTCCACACGAGCTCTAGGTCGCGAGCGTGCGTTCGTCTTCTGATTGAACCACGCCGCGATCCGCTGCATTCGTGCTTGTCTCCCAACCACGCAACGCCGCTCGGCGCGCAGCGATGAAGGCGGCGAGAGCCCTCATGGTGGCGTCAACGGGCGGAGCGGTGGCGGTATCAGTGGGGCTCTTGGCGCTCTCGATCTACCTCGCGCTCAGGTCTGCGTGCACCCTCCGCTCCCTGCTGCTCCGTTCCCATCCGCGCTTCGCCGCCATTGCGCGCCTTTGCATATCTCAACGAGCGCGCAGCGCTTTCTGTTTCACGCGCCCATCCACTCCCCGCGACCCCTCACCCTCCCGCCAGCCTCCCCGTCTCCGCACCACTCTTCCCCCCACCAGCGGTAGTGGTAGCGCGTGCGCGCAGCCACTGGACGCGTCGAGCAACGCGATGGGCGCGGTGCTGCTGAGCGCAAGCATACTGGGGCTGATCGGCGCGCTGGCGCACGAGGGGTGCCTTGAATTCCTCTTCCTCTGCTGCTCCGCCGCCCTCACCCTCGCGCTCTTGGCATACTCAGGTGAGCACCAGCGCTGGCCGACTGCGTTGCCCCGTGTAACCGATTATGGCTGCTCGTCTGATTCTCTTTGTTTGCCCAAAGCCCATCCACCCTTTCTCTCTTCTGCACCCACATCTACCCCCTCTTCCCCATCCCCCCCGCCGCAGCGTTCGCCCTGGCAGTAACAGCGCCATCCCCCAGCGCCACGGTGGGCGCGGCAGGGCAGGCGGTGTACAGCGTGGCGGGCTTCTCGTCGTGGCTGCAGGGGCTGGTGGCGCAGCCTGAGGCATGGGAGGCCATGCGCACATGCCTGGTGTCCAACAGCTCCTGCCCTGCCCTGCCACCTCCTTGGAGGGGTGCTGGGGGAGAGATGGGAGGGATACACAAAAGCAGCAGCAACAGCAGCAGTATTGCAGCTGCATCCGGTAGCTCTGGCGTCAAGAACCCATCAGTCATACAGAGTGGGTGCTGCTTTTCCCCCGCCCCGTGCAGCACGAACACAACTCTTTCCACGACACCTATCCTGTCGTCTGCCCCATCACCTGCGCCATCAGTCGCCCTCTCACCAGTAGCACCAGCAGCACTTCCTGCACCCTCCGTGGCAAAGTCATCGCACACTGACAACCATTTGCAACCAACCATCCGGACCACTGCTGTTCGCGCCAATTCCACATCGTTCTCAGATTGCACCAGCGCTGACCCAGGCGGTGGTGGGAGGTGTTTCAGCTGCGACACATGCAAGGCAGCGCTCCTCAAGGTCGTGAGGGACGACCTCTCTCTCGCTGGCTGCGTGTGCCTCACTGTTTCCTGCCTGCTGGTCGTGCTGTTGGGCGTGGGAGGGTATGGTCATGCTCTGTTGAGGAGGGAGAGACGAGAGAAGGCAAGAGAAGAGATGAGGAAGGAGGATGATTATTCTTGTGGGAGCTTCTGCAGTGGCGGTGGTTCGTGTGGAGACTGCTGTGAATGTGCTATGTTATGCTGTGCTGGGTTGGCCAATTGCTTGGGTGAATGTGGTAGGTGATGCCTTTGCACCCACTTCAAACTTGTAAAGGCTTGTCACGTTTATTTGTAGCGCTATAGTAGGTGCGCACAAATTCTCTGTACATGCAGTGAATTTACCGGCTTCGTAAATAACGCGAATAGTTTCCAGCCTGGCTTCCCTGTCGTGTAGCTCTCCCTTCCTCCCACTTCCCTCCCTCCCTTCCCGTCTTGCTGGGCGAGCCAAATCTCGGTGCGCCTCAGGCCGCCTGCCGTGTGGGCTGGCAGCCATGTGCCGTTCACCCAGGGCGTGTGAGGGTGGGGGATTCATGGCCTGGCGCTGCATTTACTGCGCATTCTACCACTCGAGTGCTGCACCGTGTGCCCTAGTTGGTGGAGCGACGGTTGTTGAACGACGTACAGCGAGCTGAGCTGGTCACAGATGGTGCCACGCCATGTTCAGCGATGAGAGAGAGAGAGAGAGAAAGAGCATGCGACGAGCAATGTTGAGTCAGGCGATTCGGCCGGGGATGACGCCGCCACCGCGGTCGTCATTCCTAGAGTACATTCACATCGTGCTGTGCATTTCAACATGCTTGCTTCCCCGGCCCACTCGTCGTTTCTACACATCATTCACTCCGCATTCTCTTGGGCTCATATCCACTCGCCCTTTCACTCGCATTCAACACTGCGTCCTCGGAACGGTTGGAAGCGATTAGGTCAAGCGCCACGCCAGCTCGTAGCGCTTATCGAACCGTCTTGATCACTGAAAGTCTGCTGCTGTTGCGCCGAAGGAATCGACGCACATGGTGGACGGACGGCTCAGATTCAACGGAGCAGATTCCCGAAGCCGGCATTCGCAGCACCAGCGAGCACAGTCGCCGGCGAGGGTGTAGAGAAGAGTGGCCGACGAGGTTTCGCGGCCCTGCGTCCATCGCAGGCGGTGGTTGTGTCGTCGTAGGCAGACGTTATTCTGAGATATTTTACGGACAACCCGGATAATCAGGCCAATCAGGCACGCGCAAAGGTCGGACGGTCACGATGAGGACGGAGAAGTTACTGACGGCGATCGCCAACACGCTCATCCTCTGCCTCGCGCTCGCCCTCATCGGCGTGTCGCTCTACACCACGTGGAGCTCGCCGCCCAGCACGTGCCTGATCATGTACCAGACGCCGCTGATGGCGATCGGCGCGGCGCTGTTCATCGGCGCGCTGGTGGGGCTGCTGGCGCTGGTGTGCGACAACTCGTGCCTCGTGTGCATGCAGCTCACCGTCTCCTTCACCGCCATGTGGGCCCTCCTCGCCTTCGCCAGTGAGTCCCCGAGCCCCCACCTCTCCCCTTCCCCAACACACTGCCCTCCTTTCCCCACCCTCGGCCCGTCTTCCCTCCCCCTCCCGTAATTTTCCACTTATCGCGCCCCTATCCTCGAGTCCCAATTTGTTCCGCATTCCACAGTTCAAATGCGGGCTGGTCGCTTGTCGTCGCACATTGTCGCACGCCACAGCCGCTGCATAGAGTTCAATCCACATGCGAATCAGGCGGCTTCCAAACCGCAAGCAACCAAACCTGCGCGAAACAAATCCTGCGCGTATTCGCCTCTTCCCCCTCCCCTCCGCGCGCCCCTCCCCTGCGCAGTATTCGCGCTGGTGGTGACGGGGCCGGGCGGCGCGTCAACGGAGAAGAGCCGCGGGTTCACGGTGTTCGAGCCGGCGCAGTTCAGCGCGTGGATGCAGCAGCAGGTCGCGGGGGACCGCTGGGCTCCGCTCGCCTCGTGCCTCAGCGGCGCGCGCACGTGCGGAGACGTGCGGAACTACATCGGGCGCAACCTCAAGAAAGCGCAGCTCTCCCCGCTCGAGGTAAGGGGTGTGGTGGGGGAAGCGGAAGAATGCGGGTTTGCGGGGAGGGAGTGGGGGATGGAGCGCGAGGAGCAGTGGAAACAGCCTATCGCTTCCACGCGTGACGACCGCGCCAACTGCAGAGTCAATCATTCACTGCACCATTTTCCTCGGCATTCACCTCACCACTCACCTACCACTCCTTCCTTTGCCCCCGTCCCTCCTCTCTGCCTCTGTCCCCCCCCTTCTCCCTCCCCACCCCCCAATGCGCCCCTACCGCACCAGGCGGGGTGCTGTCTACCCCCCCAAGGCTGTGTGCTGGGCGGGCTGAACATGTCAGCGCCCGTCTACTACTCCTTCGCCTTCGACCTCCCCACCATGCCCAAGCTCCCCCTCCCCTCCGCCGACGCCGCGCCCACCGTGCAGCGCAGCACGAGCAACTGCAGCGGGTTCAGTGCGGAGCCGAGCCAGCTGTGCTACAGCTGCCCGTACTGTCAGGGCGGGCTGCTCACGCTGCTGCGCGACAACCTGCGCATGGAGGCCTTTGTTGCGCTCGGCGTGTTCATCGCCGTCTTCATGCTGCTGCTCATCGCCTGCTTCGCCTACTGTGGTGCCCGCCCCGATGACGACGAGGAGACGGGCAAGGGCAAGAAGACGGAGATCAGCCTGGCCAGGCAGCAGACGTTTGTGATTGCCGATCAGCCGCCAGCGCAGCTGCTGTCCGTGCCGACCTTCCAGCGCACCCTCACCATGGGGGATGGCGGTGGCGGCGGGCCTGCGTTCACCCGCAGTACGACCATGTGTGACAACAGCGGTGGTGGCGCTGCCGCTGCGGCGGCGTCGAATGCGCAGTTGTCGCGCACGCTGACACGCATTGAGCAGGCTCTGGGGGCGGACCTACAGCAGTTCAAACGCTCCAACACCATGGCTGGTGGTGGCGGGGGGTCGGAGCAAAGGGAATTCAACCGCACACGCACGTTCCAGTCGAGTGCAGATGGGTACGCGGATGGAGGGGTCGGGAGGGATGCAGAGGGGCAGAAGGGGCGGCTGCTGGGGAGAATAAACACGCTGGAGTCGTCAAAGGGATCAAGAGGAGGCGAGCATGGCACTCACCGCAGCAACGCGTCCAGGCGGGGCGAGGGGGGGTCGAGAGAGAAGCTTTCACAGAGTGGGAGGGGCAGACACCGGGACTATGATGAGGAGAGTGCGAGGGACTCGGATTACATGTCAGAGGAGGAAGAGTACTACGAGGATGAGGATGATGTGGAGGATGTTGACCTGTATGACTAGGACGAGAGCCGCCGCTGGGTTTTGGCTCACTCTTTCAAATCAGGGTGGCAGGCCCCCCCCGTACCCTGACTGGTAGGGTAATTTTTCGCGTACACTGATTGTAGCAGCCTAATATTTCGGGTACACTGATGTCTGCAGGGTAAATAATCCCATACACTGTTTCCAACGCACAAATAAATAATTACTACACCAACAGTCACTACTCACTAAAATTTCCTTTCCTGCACACAAACTTTACTACTACGTTAAATAAACCCTACTACTGAGGCCACCACTACTCAATGTCTGCTGCACTAGCAACTGCTTTGTCCGCAAATTGTGCACTGGTGGCATTCACGCCGGAGAAGTCCTTGGTGGATCGCCTGAGCTTCTCACCGCGGAATATGGCGACCACCTCGTACCAGTCTATGTCGTACTGCAGGAGGGAGCACCGCATCAGGTGCTCAAGGCTTGTGTCGCCGAGGCTGCCGCGGTCCCACGTCTTTATCAGGTTCTGCTTGCTGAAGCCGCGCTCACATTCAACCGTGCTCAGTGGTAGCACGGCGACAGACTGCCACATGCGGACGATGTTGGGAAACGAAGCATGCCACGCCTCGTCGCGCAGCATGTTCCCCAACGCCTGATGAAACTCCTCGCCGTTGTGCTGGGAGAACATGGTCGACGTAAACATCCATAGCTCCTGGCCGGCACGCTTGTAGTCGAACCCTAGTAGCGGGGTCGAGGTAGAGAATGTGCACATGCTCACACATACGGGTTGGAGTGGGAGGCATTAGTCCAACAATACAGGGCCGGGTGATGAGGAACACTCTAACCACAAGCGCACTGGAACAAGGTTTAAACCGGTGCAAAGCAAGGAACAACAAGTCAATGGGAATAGCCGACACATCAGACAATGACGCTTACCAGGGAGCTTGTAGTTGTACAGCTTGTGGAGCTGGCCAAGCCACTTCCTGAAGGCCTCCAGCCGCTTGGTGTCATCGGACACATACGACGCAGTCCGAAACAGCTTGGCGCCTTCTAGAAGGTTGAGGTCGCGCATGCGCCACTCCAGCTCCTCGTCCACGGCGCGGATTAACTTGAGCGAAAGCTCAAGGCAAGCGGTTACGTCACCCGCAGTCTCATGGCCTGGCAGTTGGCGTTCGTGCAGGGTGAATTTGAAGGAGACGGCGTTGCCATCCGCGTCAACGCCTTCCGCTTTCATTTCACGCTTATCCAGCTTCTGGTGAGCCTTGATGAAGTCAGGCAACCGCATCTTCTCTCAGCTGCCAAACGTGTGACCAGGGGACCTGTCGAGGTAGCGCGTCTTCAGGCGCATCCGCGTCTGTTGGACAAGGTGCGCCACGAGGGTGACGTCCACCTGCACACATACGATACACGAGGTGAGAAGGAGAAGTACAGGCGTGAGTGAGACTACAAATTAGCTCGACAGTGTCTTACCTGACGTTGCTGAAACCGCAGGTTGAGTTGGTTGAGCTCCCATAGCACATCCGCGAGGAAGCGGACGAGCCAGTGGAACTTGAACGAGGTGACTACCTTGTACAAGTCTTTCTTGTAGTCCTTCAACACGACAATGGCTGCAGGCAGAACGTTAAGGAACCGCTGGATCGCCTCGCCACGGGAGAGCCAGCGCACGTCGTGTATGCCCTGCGCCTCCAGATTCGTCTGGCAGTAGACGCGCTGCAGGTTCTGGAACTTGGTGTAATCCACGCTGCTGCGGCCGATATGCTCGGAGAAAGCACGCACCACGTCGTCCACCATGTCGAGCTCGGGACTGACTCCGCGGCATCCTTAGCTGCCAATGCCTCCCTGCACATTGAAGTAGAGCATGTCAGAACGTTACTTCATCGCAGATCGGGATCTTAAAGAAACTCAAATTTGCCTTTTCCGCGTCTGCTTTGGCCTCGTTTTCCAAGGCCTGCTTGTGGGCTCTGCTCGATGTGTGCGCACGGATGCTCCCTAGCTGCATGTCTCGCGCACCCTCACCTCTGACGCCCTAGGCAGTGTGCGCGTTTGGATCTCCGTGCTTGATGCAGATGCCACATTTCAATGACGGCCTGCCGTTAGTCATGCGCATTAAGCGAAGCCAACTGAATTTACCAGCCCATTGGGAATCAAAAGTTGCTTTTACCGCTTCGTACTCAGCTTCTGCTGAAGCGGTTGGAGGCTTCGGCTCAGCAGGAGCAGCACGGCGTGGTGGTGATGCTGCTTGTCGTGGAGGAGGGGCGCCCCAGAGCGTCTGCTGCTTGTATGTCACACCCACACGCTGTCGCTTCGAGGGCGCTGAGCAAATTGTGGACGGGGATGCAGTGGCTGCCTTCGACGGGCCTTCGCCGCCATCGGGAACAAGCTCGACATACGGGTGTGGCTCCCGGGACTTTGGGGAGGCTGAGCGCTCGCACGGGAAAACGGTGCCGACAAGACATTCAGGGGATGGCTCACGCGCAGGCTGAGAGATAGGAACGCTATAGTTCTCAGCCACCCGAGGTAACACACCGAGAACGGAGAGACCGTCCCTGGTGCTACCAGGCGGATCTGCCTCTGAGGTAGGCATTCGGAACAAGAAACGAGAGGGAAGCGAGAGAATGGCGAGAGTCTGAGAGACCCCTTGGGAATCACAAACCCCTAGGGGCCTCAAGCAGGTGCGTTCCCGCGCTGGTAGGGAACTGCATGGCATAGGCTGCAAGGCCACAATGACTGTCAGGTTGTGGGTATGACAGCACGTGCCACACCTGGCGCGCAACGTTGGTAGTGAGCGGTGCTTCGGGAACGCACGAAAACCAGGTGCGTTGGCTCTGATGTTGCTCAACGGACCAATCGTAGGTGTGCGCGGCCATCCGTGCTGAATATGCGTTGGCGCGCCAGTGGGTGTATCGACCAACTGGTCCAGTGGGAGCGTGGTGCATTTTGTCGTGGCGCGTGCTGTGGCGGAATCCGCGGTACAACATAGTTCCGGTAAAAGGGTAGTTGAACCCCTACCCTGATACAGTCAGTGTAACAAAAAATACCACAAGAGTACTTTTTAGCGTATCCTGATTTCACTAGGGTAAAAATCGTCATACCCTGATTTCAAAAGGGTAACTGCCAAAAAGTGGCCTACCATCAGGGCAAAAGGGTAAAATACCCTTGAAATTCGGGGCCTTCAACAGGCATATAGCCTGATTCTGTGATTTGTAGGAATGTTAGAATGTGTTATTACATGCAGCTGTGTTCTTGTCGTCTTACTGATAATGTAAAGGCTCCATGTAAATGAGTAATTTTCACAAAGCATGGGTGTGTTCACGTTAGCGAGTTCACGTTATTGCGGTGGGGTGCGATTTTGGGTATGTGCGAGTTCTTAGCAATACCGTACAGAACGCATATAGCATCGCATAAACATAGGGGAGGTGAATTGAAAAAAACAAAGGTGACACGAGGCGGAGGCGACAAGAGGACACAAGGGTACACAACAAGAAGTGAGGATTTGAAAGACATGGGAGGAGGCGGCAACGAAGAAGGCGGCAGTACGCCCACACTCGACAGCATGACACATAGCGGTACGTGCATTGCTTTCCCAACCATCTCTACACAAAGACTCGCTTGCGCCAGTCCATTGCTTAGAACATAACATACAGTAGAGTTTCTGTTGTGAATGCTGCAATCAGAAGTTGATCGTAGCCCATGATCTACTCTGGAAGGTTCGCACGCAGTGAGGTAGTGTTGGTGGGCCCTTGACTCCAATAGCAGAGTGAATGTAAAATGCTTGAGATGAATAGAACATGCAGATACATGGAGAATAAATATGAGTACAGGGAAGACGAAACGACCTAGCTAGCCATGTACTCTAAGGGGTACATTCCCTTATTCAAGAGTGCATCCCAACCGTTCGGCGCGTACAGTTTCGTAACTGTTCCCGCCAAAACCATCCTGCCTGCAGTTGCCGTTTGCTTCCGACGGTTCAGATGTGCTGTAACCGTCCGACTCTTCGATTCAATTCCAACCGTCTGACGCTTGCGTTCATTCCCGATATTGTGCGTTCCTTGCTGCGGTGAGGAGTGCTTAGTAATATCAGATATTACTATTCGTAACACCCCCCTTCACTCCTGGCCGTAGCTCGACTTGACCTGCTTGACCACGCCACTGAGCTCGGAGCAGTGATGATACTGTTGACGTGGCAGCCGCTTCGTAAGGAAATCTCCTGCCATGTCACCTGTCGGGCAGTAGGTCAAGTTGACCTTTCCTTTGTCCACTTCGTCCTTCACAAAGAAGTACCGCAGCGCAATGTGCTTGGTGCGGTTAACGAAACCAGGCTTGTTCGCGATGCGAATCGCGCTCTGGTTGTCGCAGTGAAGGCGGAATGTGGGCGAAGCTGGAATTTTCGCCTCTTGCAGGAGTTCCTGCAGGTAGAGGCCTTCGCGAACTGCTGCGGTTGTTGCGATGAATTCCGCTTCGGCTGATGACAGGGCAACCAACTCCTGCTTCTGTGAATTCCAGGAGATTGGTCCCGTAGGCTCGAGTCGGAACAGGAACCCAGTCCTGGACCGTCGATTATCGGGATCTGCTGCATGATCGGCGTCCACATAGCCGATGAGATTGAAGGATGGGGTTGGTGCAGTTGAGTAACGCAGCCCAATCTTGGGCGTTGAAACGAAGTATTGGAGGGCGCGCTGCAGGTCCAGGAGATTTTCAGCCGTTGGTTTGCGTGAGTACTGCGCCAGCTGACTTGCGATGTACGAGAGGTCTGGCCTGCAGGTGACAGAGGCGAAGAGGAGGCATCCCAACTACTGCTGGTAAGTCTGAATCCCAGCAGGGGATAGGGCTTTGTTGTCGGGTTTGTGGTTCGGTCCGGGGGTTCGGTAGGGAGTTGAGAGAGGTGCAAGTGAAATGTTGAACCGCTTCCCTAACTCCTCTGCGTACTTAGCCCCTGAAAGGTGAATGGCTTCAGGCGCGTAGGTGATGTTGAGGCCTAGGAACTGCTTCACCTCGTAGTTGCATGTGATGTCGACGCGCCCCGCCAGAGCCTTCTCGAACTGCTGGAGGAGCTCGTTGTTTGAGCATGTGTAAAGCAGATCGTCGACGTACACAGTGAGGAGGACGTATTCGCCGCGGAAATCGCGACGGTACATCCCTGGATCGTGTGGCATTTGCTTGAACCCGATTTCAAGCAGGATGTTGTGCAGGTACTGCTGCCACAGCCTCGGAGCCTGCTTGATGCCGTAGAGTAACTTGCGCAGCTGACATACGCGCGAGTCTCCTTCGCCGTAGGTGTGTGGCTGCTCCACGTAGATCACGCCGTCTACTAACGCGTACAGGAATGCGTTCTTCACGTCGATCTGACGAAGTGGCAGGTGCCTTGCAGCTGCGATGGCGAGCAGGATGCGGACGGAGGTGTGGCGGCTGACTGGGGCAAACGTTTGGTCGAAGTCGATCCCATGCCTCTGGTCATAGCCGCAAACCACCCAACGCGCCTTGAAGCGCTTGATCGTCCCATCCGCTGCGGTTTTTACGCGGAAAACCCACTTCCCCGAGAGAATTCTTGCGCCCTTGATCGTTGCGCGGTCGACGAGCACCCAGGTGTCGCGTGACTCCAGTGCCTTGATTTCCGCATCCATCGCCTCACGCCACTCCTTGCTGTGTGGTCCAGAGAGTGCTTCGCGCGGGTTTCGGGGCTCGATGATGCGTGGTGCCTTCGAGGTTGCGGTGTAAAGCCCGAGCAGCTGCAGCCCTGAGATGGTGCTGTCAGTGGCGACGTTGCGGGATGACCTCCTGCACATCATCGTCGTTGCTCTCTGGTTCAGGTGCTGGCGGTGTTGCGCCTCTGCCGCTTCCGCCTGTTCTGCTTCCGTCTGTTCCGCTTTCGCCTGTTCCGCCTATTCTTCCTCCTGAGGAATCATCGTCGTCGTCGTCGCTGCGCCGGTTTTCCCACGCGAATTCCCCCCTTGTGTCCTGCTCCAAGATTGCTGCAGCGGCTTCGTCTTCGGGCATTGCGTAGCTGTGGCCGTCGTTGGCGTAGACTCGATTCGCATTCGTCTGCTCGTCGCGGCGGAACTAGTCGAGGAAGAGACGCTCGTAGAAGATGACGTCGCGAGCGTGAGTGGTTTTCTGACTGAGGAGGTCCAGCACGATCCACGCCTTGTGCTCGTGACTGATGTCGAGGTGGATTCCCCAGCGTGCGCGGCTGGCGAACTTGCCGATGGTTGAGGTCGGCGGGCGGTATTGAACCATGCACCCCCATACCCGGAGCATGGAGGTATCCCCTTTGGTTCCACTCCATTTGACGTGCGGGGACAGGTTCCCGGTGATTGCGGTGGTTGAAAGCAGGTTGTGCACCCGCACGGCGTTGCGCATCGCGTAGGTCCAGTAGATCGGCGACAATTTCGACTGCTTCATCAGCGCGCTGCACCTTCGTCATCAGTGTGCGGTTGGTCCGCTCGGCTGCGCCCTGCTGCTGGTGCGCGTAGGGGAGAGAAATGTGGTGCTCGATCCCCTTCTGTGTCAGGAAGGTCTGCATCTGGTTGCTCCTGAATTCTGCCGCGCCGTCAGATTGCCAAATCTTGAGTTTCTTCCCAGATTGCCTCTCCGCATGCGCCAGCCAAAGCCGAAATACTTCGTACGCTCTGTCGCGCGACTCCACATTCACGACCCACACGTAGCGCGTTCCGGCATCGATGAAGGTAAGCGTGTACATTTCGTCTTCGACTCCGCAATGCCCCACGTTCAGGAAATCGCTGTACACCTTGTGCAGCTTGGGGTAACGATTTGTTCCAGGTTCGAGTAACGGGAACGGTTGGTGGCTCAGCGCAGCTTCAGGGCAGACGGTGCAATTGCGCGGATGTGTCGCGCCGCTTACTTCGGAGCCGTCGGGGCGCAGGAGTGCGCCGGGAGCGAAGACGCCTACGTCGATGCAGTTTTTCAGCGTCGCGTGGGAAGGGTGTCCGAGGCGCTGGTGCCAGAGTGCGTCGTCAGCGCGAAAGCCGGAGGTGCGCATGTAGCGCATGCGTGCTTCCTCAGGGTCTTTGTCAGGTGCAGGGGTAGGTTCTGTTGCTGCTTCCTCTGCTTCTTCTTCTTCTGCCGCGGTAGTCAGCATCAGCGCCAAAAATTCTCTGTCCCGAATTTCGGAGAGCGGGATGTTGGTCCCAGGGATGGTTCCAGGGACGAAGGTGGGTTCGCGATGCTCAGGGGCAGGTCCGTAGGCGGTGCGACGTGGTGTTGACGGTTCGTTGCCCCAGATGATAGTGTCCCATGGATCGCGGCGCGGGGGGTTGTCAGGAGGAGGTAGTGCGAGTGGAACGTGGCGCGGGGGACGACCGAGAGGGACGATTGCGGGTGTTGCCTGAGTTTCCTCAGCTACAGCTTCTCCCCCCCTTCGTTCTTCGCGGAGAGTACCCCAGGCGCTATTGTCGGCGGCAGTTGCGGCGCCCCATCCGCCGCCCGCGTTGGCCCAGGTGCCGCCGCTGTCTCCCCAGCCGCTAGTGTCGCTTGTTCCCCATCCGCCAGCGCTCTCCCATCCTCCTTCATTGGAGGCTTTTTCTGCCGCTTCTCCTCCCCAGGCGGCGCAAGCGAAGGTCCCGCGTGCTTCAACGAGACTTTGCTGGCGAAGCTCCTCAGCTTCGCGGCGCGCCAATTCTTCCTCTTGCTCCACGGTGAGTTTCTTCGTCGAATCGCGTTGATGAGGGTAGATCTCCAGGAATTTCTCGTGGGTGTAGGGTCGCGGCTGGCCACGGGCATCAAAGGTGCCTGACGCCGGTTCCGCGCAGCATCCCCTGAAGGTGTTGCGAGGGGGGACCGATGAGGGGATGCTCTGGCGTGCCGAAGATGCCGTGGGTAGTGACTTCAAGCTCGAGCTGCGACATCCCTTCCCTTGGGGGCGCGTGGCGCTCTGCTTCAGCGATGACGGCGAGTCCCCGGCCGGCAATCGCGTTCGTTGAAGTCGTCGGTGTGTGACAATCCCTGCATATTCCATACGGATCGGGATTGTGTAGTGCCGTTTCGCGTGGGTGGGGATGGTGCGGCACCCACGGTCTGCCGTCAGGGTGCTTCCAGTCCCTGCGGTGGATGTGCTCGAAGCGCAGTGGCACGAGGTCAATCAGTTCGTGCGAGTCGCCGCTGCAGTCGGGGATGTCAAAATCCAAGACGTACACTCCATTTTCAGAGCGCGCTCGTCCGATCTGCCTGCGAGGGAAGTTGCGTGCTTCGTAGTGCAGCAGGATGTTGTCAGAATGTATTTGCTGTCTAGCCTGCAGTGGGGTACTCTGTAATGAGTACAACCCAATTTAGGGTGTTGTACTTGTATCCCAACTCTTGCTAGTGAAACCACTCATTCTCCTTTCAACTTTCTCGACATTGATCTCACACCCTAAAACTCGAACTCTCTCCTAAGCTTCCATGGCTCTTAAGCCTAAGTCACGCTAGTTATTTTAACATGGTATTCAGAGCAGGTGCCTTCCTGCTACCTTCTTGCTTCCGCTGCCTATCGTCTTGCCGCGCGCCTCGGGCGCGCGGCGTAGCGCACGGCGATTTTCTGCCCGCCGTGTGCTCGGGGCGCACGGCGGTTTTCTGCCCGCCGTGCGCCCCGAGGCGCGCGGCGGGTTCCTACCTCATCGCGGCGTCTTGGGGGCCCGCGCACTGGCCCCGACCATCTCCTCGTCGCGGCGTTTTGGGGGCCCGCACGCAGGTCCCTCCCGTCGCCTCGTCGCGGCACTTTCGGGGCCCGCGAGCCGGCCCCTCCCGTTGCCTCGTCGCGGCGCCTTAGGGGCCTGCGCGCGGTCCCCTCTCGTCGCCCGTCGAGGCACTTTTGTGGACCTGCGCGGCTCCCTAGCACGTCGCCCTTCAGGGCACAATGGGGGCCCCGCCATTCCCCTCCCCTCCCTCCTACTTTCCGCTGCAGCAGCCGCTACTACAGCAGCCGCCCCAGTAGCAGTAGCCCCTGGAGCAGCAGCAGCAGCCCCAGCAGCAGCAGCCCCGGGACCAGCCGCCCCAGCAGCAGCCCCTGGAGCAGCAGCCCCAGCAGCAGCAGCCCCTGGAGCCGCCCCAGCAGCAGCAGCCCCGGGAGCAGCCGCCCCAGCAGCAGCCCCTGGAGCAGCAGCCCCAGCAGCAGCAGCCACTGGAGCAGCCGCCCCAGCAGCAGCTGCCCCTGGAGCGGCCACCCCAGCAGCAGCAGCCCCTGGAGCCGCCGCTACTGCAGCAGCCACCCCAGCAGCAGCAGCCCCTGGAGCAGCAGCAGCAGCCCCAGCAGCAGCAGCCCCGGGAGCAGCCGCCCCAGCAGCAGCCCCTGGAGCGGCCACCCCAGCAGCAGCAGCCCCTGGAGCAGCCGCTACTGCAGCAGCCGCCCCAGCAGCAGCAGCAGCCCCAGCAGCCCCAGCAGCAGCAGCCCCGGGACCAGCCGCCCCAGCAGCAGCCCCTGGAGCAGCAGCCCCTGGAGCCGCCCCAGCATCAGCAGCCCCGGGAGCAGCCGCCCCAGCAGCAGCCCCTGGAGCAGCAGCCCCAGCAGCAGCAGCCACTGGAGCAGCCGCCCTAGCAGCAGCTGCCCCTGGAGCGGCCACCCCAGCAGCAGCAGCCCCTAGAGCCGCCGCTACTACAGCAGCCACCCCAGCAGCAGTAGCCCCTGGAGCAGCAGCAGCAGCCCCAGCAGCAGCAGCCCCGGGAGCAGCCGCCCCAGCAGCAGCCCCTGGAGCAGCAGCCCCAGCAGCAGCAGCCACTGGAGCAGCCGCCCCAGCAGCAGCAGCCCCTGGAGCAGCCACCCCAGCAGCAGCAGCCCCTGGAGCCGCCCCAGCAGCAGCAGCCCCGGGAGCAGCCGCCCCAGCAGCAGCCCCTGGAGCAACAGCCCCAGCAGCAGCAGCAGCCACTGGAGCAGCCGCCCCAGCAGCAGCAGCCCCTGGAGCAACCGCCGCTGCAGCAGCCGCCCCTAGCCCCTGCAGCAGCCGTTCCTGGACCCGGTGCAGCCGTGGGGGGGTGGGTGTGGGGGTGATAGTTGTGGGGGTGTCGATTGTGCGTGCCGTCCCCTCCTCCTCCTCCTCCTTCGTCTCCCACTGCTGCAGCTCTCGCTGAGGGGGGTGGATGTGTGGGAGTCTGGGGTTTAGGGTTTAAGGGGGTGCTGTGGGTGTAGGGCTAGGCTTTGAGCAGGGGGTGTGTGAGAGGGGTGTTGGGCAGCTGGGGGAGGTTGAGTGGAGGCAGCAGTCTTGTCGTCTGCAGCAGCAGCAGTCCGGAGGCTACAATCTCCGGTAGTCGCCAGTCGCCCGTGGGTCCGTTGCTCGTCTGCCGCTACTTTTAGCCGCAGGGCCAGTTAATCCAGTAGTCCGGAGCGCTGTTCCGGTAGCCACTGAGCCAGCAGCTCGTCTGTGTGTCTGCAGCGTCAGCAGTCGCCTCCCATCTTCTCTCCCCCACAGTCTCTCCTCCTCCTCACTTGCCCTCTGTGATTAGCTCTAGCCTTACTTACCTATTGTGAACTCTTGCTCTATGCTTGCTCATTGTGCTGATTACTCCCCACTTTGGCTATGGGGGTGTGTCATAATGTATTTGCTGTCTAGCCTGCAGTGGGGTACTCTGTAATGAGTACAACCCAATTTAGGGTGTTGTACTTGTATCCCAACTCTTGCTAGTGAAACCACTCATTCTCCTTTCAACTTTCTCGACATTGATCTCACACCCTAAAACTCGAAATCTCTCCTTAGCTTCCATGGCTCTTAAGCCTAAGTCACGCTAGTTATTTTAACAGATGTCTTGCGTCGCGTGGTCCGTGCTGAGGTCGACGCCGCAATCCATGAGCTGTGCGGCGGACAGGAGGTCGAAGCGCAAGTTCTGGACGATCAACACATCGTTGAGCGTGATGTGGGTGCGGCTTCTGCGTGCCTTGAGCACGACGATGCCTTGCGCGCTTGCGCGCAGACGTGTATTTTTCGCCACAGTGACGTAGGTGACGGTAGGGGTGGGGACGGCGTTGGATATGTAACGCTCGGAGCCTACCATGTGCTGGCCGCAGCAGCTGTCCAGGTACCAGGTGTTGTAGCGCTTGTTGTCGTCACGTGCGAGCAGCGCCAGTCGCGGCGTGACGATGTGCGGGGTGTCGAACTTGAGAAATTGTTCGCGCGTGAGCCAATCAAGTGGCGCCACCCGCATATCAGGGACGTGCGGGGGACTTTCGAGCAGCGGGACTGGGAGATTCCAGTCCTGGTCGTCGTCGTCGATGTAGTCGCGGCGCGGGCTGAAAGGGTTGTTGTTGGTAGATGCGCCAATGGGGTGTGGTGCTGGCTCAGGTGAAGGTGAGTGCACGCGGCGATGACGCGACTCGCCTGTCATGGTCATGTTGCTCATGACATTGCGAACTGGGGCAGTCGATGACGACTGCTGCTGCTGATGCTGAACCGCTAGGTTCAGGTTGCGCGCAGGTGGGAGTTGTTGTCCCTGGGCTGGACGCACGTCGCCTCGTGCGTCTTGTCGGCCGGTCCAAGTGCTCGGATTGGACTGGCGAGGGCGAGATCGGAATTTACATCGATCCGCCAAGTGCCCGAAATTTCTGCAGATTTTGCAGTAGAGGCGCCTCGGCCGTCGCTCTTCGTTGTTGTCGGCGTAGAAGGCGAGCCGTTCGCGTTCTCGTCGCGGCGCTGGTCACTGCTGATCCATATCCCTCTGTTCGACGAGAAGGGCGGCGCAAAGGGCGGCCTCCGAGATGACCCCCTACTGTCGGAGAAGCGCCTTGCAGGGCCGCCACTCTGGGCCGAGCCCTTGAAGCACGATGTTGACGAAGATTTCTTCCGATATCGTGCTTCCCAACTTCACGATTTGATCGCGAAGGCTCCGACAGCGATTAAGGTAGTTGTTGACCTTCTCCCCAGAGGTCATCTTGGTTTCCAGCAGTTCCTGGAGTAGTCGGCTCGAGGACACGGAGTCCTTGGGCTGATACACGCCTGTCAGATGTCGCCGGGCGTTGAGGGCTGGAGCAGCTGTCGTTTTGTACGAACGAATGTTGAGCTGCTCCGCCGCCGACATATTCCGCAGGAGCACTCCGTACGCCATCAGCGATTCGTTGTAATACCTCGTCTTGGCGTCGCCGGTGTCCTCAGCAGGCTCCGCGTAGCTCCCGTCGAAGTAATGGAAGATTTGGGTGTTCTGCAGCAAGAGCTCCAATTCGAAGCTCAAGGTATAGAAGTCTCTGCCGTCAAAACATGTACTTGTCTTTATTTTTGATATGCTGAGAAACCTTGATTGAGCGGAGAGAATTGCCTCTTCACTGGGACGGGGAGTCTTGGGGGTTGAGCCATTGGTGTCGAGGGAGAATGTTTGCGGGGCGGTGTTTTGGCCAGTCGGGGCCGGTTGAGAGGGTTGCGAGGAAGTTCCCGCATCGCCATTCCGCAATGTTTGGAGTCCTTGCTCCAAGCTGGTGAGTCGCTGAAGAAGTTGTGTGAGAACTTCGGAGTCGATTGTCGTCGTGTTCCCGCTTGTTACAGCCAGGTTGGGTTGTGCTTCAGCCGTCAGATTAGTCTGACCACCAGATCCTCCGGCCATCCTTGTACGTGATCGTGTGCCGGACGCCACTTTCCAAATGTCGTAATTTTCGGGAGTGACGGTGCGAAGGAGTCCAGAGCCGCTCTCATACCATGCTGCAATAAGATGTTGATCGTAGCCCAGGATCTACTCTGGAAGGTTCGCACGCAGTGAGGTAGTGTTGGTGGGCCCTTGACCTCAATAGCTGAGTGAATGTAAAATGCTTGAGATGAATAGAACATGCAGATATATGGAGTATAAATATGAGTACAGGGAAGACGAAACGACCTAGCTAGCCATGTACTCTAAGGGGTACATTCCCTTATTCAAGAGTGCATCCCAACCGTTCGGCGCGTACAGTTTCGTAACTGTTCCCGCCAAAACCATCCTGCCTGCAGTTGCCGTTTGCTTCCGACGGTTCAGATGTGCTGTAACCGTCCGACTCTTCGATTCAATTCCAACCGTCTGACGCTTGCGTTCATTCCCGATATTGTGCGTTCCTTGCTGCGGTGAGGGGTGCTTAGTAATATCAGATATTACTATTCGTAACAGTGAAGAATTATAAAGGTGGAATCCTGAGAAATTGCTCATTGTTACGGGTGCAATGAATCGAGGTAGCGAGAATTGCACTAAGGTGTCAAACGAGTACAAAATGTGAGCGAAGGCATGAGCGAGCATTTATACGCGAAACATGCAAAACGGTAACGCGGTGCGTGCGAACTTGCTAGTGCTACGCTGGAGCGAGGCTCGGGCTAGTCCCGAAGCGTAGGCCGATACGGCCATGCCAGCAGTGCGAGGTTTGGCAAAACAGTGCGCGCGAAGTCGGCGAAGTTCCGTTAGCAGTAACGGGCGAACAGTCGGCTGTTGCTGTACGCGATGTAGTCGGCTCCGTAAGGAATGCCTGAGAAAATTCCTTACACTACCCCCCCCCCTTAAGAAGCCCCCTCCGCTACGCGAGTGCGTGTATATCCCGGAATCCCCGGCTTCTCAAGTACACTTGCAGGGCAGGGTGATTTTCGATGTTGCTCAGGGGCACCCAGCTATCTTCAGTTGGCGTGCGGTCTTTCCAGCGAACGAGGAATTCAATCCTCCTGATTCCCGTGGGGTGGCGGATCCGATGGCTCAAAAATTTCTCGGGCTCGATGATCGGCTCTGATGCAGGGCGAGTCATTGATTGTGGCCGGTGACGCGGCAGTTGACTCGTGGTCGGGATGTATGGGCGAAGTAGGCTGACGTGGAACGAAGGGCTGATGTACCAGTCAATTGGCAACAGTAGGTGCGCGGTGACGGGTGTGATCATGTGACTGATTTGGAATGGTCCACAGTAGCGCGGTCGTAATTTTGGTACGTCGGGCAGTCGCAGATTTTGCGTGTCGAGTAGCACGTAATCTCCAGATTGATACGTGACGGGGCGGCGGTGGCGATCAGCGTTGCGCTTAGCGATGACGTTGGCCTTTTTTATTGCTTCGGCGGCTCTGGCGCGGGCAGCTTGCAGGATTTCGGCGAATTGTTGTGCGCGTGGCGTGGGGTTGTCCGGACTCGGCGTCATGGGCACTGTGGGGTTCTGCCCATAGTTCAGGTAGAACGGGGACTGCTGCGTCGTGGCTGATGTGGCGTTGTTGTACGCGAACTCGATCAGCGGCAGCTGCTGCTCCCAGGTCGTGGGGTCGTCGCACGTGGCACGAATCAACTGCTCCATCGTCTGATTCGTCCGCTCCGTTTGGCCGTCGGTCTCGGGGTGGTACGACGAACTGAACTGTAGCCTGGTCCCGAACTGCTCCCAGAGGTTCTTCCAGAAGTTGCTGGTAAACTTCGTGTCCCTGTCGCTGATAATTGCTGCTGGTATCCCGTGCAGGCGAACAACGGCTGCGATGAACAGGCGAGCGGTCTCTTCGGCTGAGATCGACTTTTTGCACGCAGCGAAGTGTGCCATCTTCGTCAACCTATCCACGACGACCATCACCGCGTCGTTACCCCCAGGGTTCGAAGGTAACCCTGTGACGAAGTCCATGGTTACTTGCTGCCAGGCGCGTTCGGGCGGTGGGATCGGCTGCAATTGACCCGCCTTCCGCTTCCTTGAACTCTTCATCACCTGACACGTCGGGCACGAGCCCACGTGCTGCTGTACGTCGGTCAACAGCTCCGGCCAGTAATAGTACCGCTGCAGTTGCTGTCGTGTTTTTTCTACCCCGAAATGTCCCGAGGTAATCCCGTCGTGTGCCTCCTGCAGCAGCAGCTCCCTCAGTAGTGAGTACGCGGGTACCCAAATGCGGTTGGTGCCTGTTTTTACGTAATAAACTCCTTTTGCTTCTGCCAGTTGCTGTGAATTTCCGGTCGTGAAAAATGGGTCGGTGCGGTATCCGTGGGTGAATAGGCCAGTTAAAAGCGGGTTGGTCTGGGCGAGTAGGATGGCGTGGAGTTGGGCGGTGGGGCGGGTGAGAGCGTCGGCGATGTTGGATGCTCCTTTTTTGTACGTGACGGTGTAGTGAAAATTGGACTCGAGATAGTCCAACCAGCGAATCTGTCGTGGGTTGAGATTCGGTTGGGCGCGAAGGTACTGTAGCGAGCGGTGGTCTGTCCGTACTGTCACGTCGGCACCAGTCAGGTAACATCGCCAAACTTTGAACGCGTGCACGAT